TATCATTTGTCACTTTTAGAACTAGTGACATATACTTGTGCAGCTATCCATATCATTTGTCACTTTTAGAACTAGTGACATATACTTGTGCAGCTTTCCATGTCATTTGATAAAGTTTCATTTGCTAGACTTCTCTCGGTGTTTATAAGTGCAAGTGAAAATAACCTGTCTTGAGCGTAAGTTTGTTTTCACTCAACATAAGGCACTGAATGATTGCTGGCAAAGAACAGGAGGTTGCTGGTATCATAGCCATAATGGATGCAACCTTGTATAACACAGGCAACACATGGGATCATTATGAAAGAGCTTTTAAACAATCTTGGCAGCAGATTTTAGAGAAGAACTGTAAGTTTCCTTAGTCTTGTAATTTTCATGGATTTTTTTCCTCACTCCTCAATATCTCCTCATCAAGTTCCTAAACGTTTTGCAATAGTTGCATAGCTGTAACCTTCAGCTGTGAAAATAACAATCGACAATGCACAAAGAATAGGTTGGTCATTCTTGTCATAGTAGATATTCACATGATAAGTCTTTACATCAGTGGTAAAAGATTTAGGGCCACTAACTTCACTGAACAGAGCTTGAATACCTCTTGAAGGTTTCTTTTTCTGATACTAACTTGATCGCTGATGAAGACGAATTTTCACAAAAGAGCCAATCTGTGGGGAGTTTCTGCAACACCACCCCCATCCTGTATGCTTATGATAATGAATGATATAAAGATAAACTACTTGTCAAATGGGCAAAGTATAAGATAGAACTTTTGTCCCTGGCATTGGGCGATATGATTACCACACTCCTGTGCACTACCAAAATATGTGAGAAATATTTCATGAAAGACAAAAAATGTTTCTAGTGATCTGATTTAATTGATCATGAGAACCTGTTATGGTTTATTAGCATTCAGTTTTGACTGAATTTTTCCATGATAATAAAATAATACAGGATCTGTTTGTTCAAATATTGAATTCTATCAGGTTACTTGTAATTCATTATTCTTGTCATTCTTACACACTAGGATAAAACATGAGTACGTTTTATGTTCGATATTTTCTGCTTTTAGTACAAGTTTAATACAATTTTCTTTTATTTCATGTCATGATTTATCATTAAATTTAGATATAGAAAGTGCTGATAGATACATAACACTAACTGTAAAGAATTCTATCAAAGAAAATTTATTTGTATTCTTTATATGACTAACTGCTCACTGTTAAGTATTCTCTTACTTTCTGTATTAACTTCCTTTTGCATAATAGTGTGACACATTTTTTGTATAAAGTGTGCTTTCTCTCTAATCAAATACATCTGTATTACCATTAACCGTTAAAACTGTATCTAGTAGTAACTGATATCTAGGTAGTGTTGATAGTATTTGTGCTGAAAAAAGGGTTAGAAATATTACTCATATTTCCTAGTTATTCTTCTACTGTATTTTACTTTTAATTTGATTTGATTGTTTCACCAAAATATAGGCCAAATGCTAAATTTTTGTGGAAGAGAATACCAGAAAATGTGAAACAAGTAAGTAATTTCCATTTTAAATTTTATAGTTTTGTTTTCCCTTACTCTTTTATTCTTTCTGTGGTGGTAAGGTTTGTGTGTGTATACATATATATAGACAGAAAGAACCATTTGAACTCCAACCAAAGCATATAAAAATATTTTCTATAGACATTTATATTGAAATTATATAGTTTCCAACAAATCAAAATAGGGAGTTTCATGGAAATGGTTTTGCACTGTGACACCTTAATTTTTACCAAAAAATATCAAAAGCAATTAAAATACTATTTATAAAAAATGCCATATTTAAAACAAATTAACACCATATTTCAAATAGCCTCATATTTAAATTAATACCTTATTTATAATGCTATCAATAAGTTAATGTATACATAAATGCTATGTTTCAGGCATCTAAATTTCCTCTTAAGTAGAATTTGCATTTTTTAAGTAAAAAAATATCGTATTATAATCTGTTATTTCTTCACACAATGCCAAAAAAGGATAATGAAAGAATTAAGTTTGTGCAATCAGCTACCAGATCCTACATATATATGACAATTAAAAAAGTGCCTACAATTGGACTAGATTTAAAATCTCTAATGCGACTTTTATGCTGTTTCATTCTTGCTCAAAATTTTGTGTTTGACCAATAAATATTAAATCACAAATAGGACATTTCAATATACACATACAATTAATTGAATTATAGTCAAAGTAAGTTTTAAACATTTCTAATTCATTACCTCTACAAGGTATTGCCAGAAGAAATGGAAGAGTTGGATGATATTTGTGAAAAATGTGCTTTTCAAGATGATGATAAGAGTAGGGTTAATACCTTGAAAGTTTGTGAGGAAAGTAGAGTTTTAAGGTCCTTAGAGGAAAAGAGGTTGTTTATAAAAGCTCAAATAAGGTTAATGTGACATACAAAAACTGACATTTATAATAGTATGGTTATAGACCACTTGAATGATGGTAATACTTAAGAAAAGTTGGAAGGGTTTGATTTAAATGGGAAAATTATGCAGTTAAAGGAATCTGAAGCAGTATAAAGCACAGTTATATAAAATTGAAATATGTTAGGTCTTCAAGAAATTAATGTCACTTTTTTTTAGATGAAAAAACCTGAACAACTTGTATATCAAAACATTTATTAAATGAAATAGTC